ATCGCATTTGGCCCCTGCGTGGTCTATTCTTCAGGAGCACCGTCCTGAAAAGCTTCTGGGAAGTTTATGTTCTCATCTTTTCTGTGCTGCTTAGCAAAGGTTAGCTTAGTCTTTGGCAACAGTGCAAGAAAACACAAAGCCAATAGTATAATGGAAAATAACAAAATCAAGGTGGGTAATAGAGGGAGGAGGCTGCGAAGGCCCCTGATTTGTGGGGGTCTTCCTCCAGCCTGAGCTTTGCTACACAGCTTGAGTAGCATGGCTCCCGGCAGGCTTGCATGCCACGCCGGGTCCCTCTGGGCCTGCTTCTCCCACCCCACTCCTGCTGGGATTCCTGGCCGACCCTCTTCCATGGCTGAGGCAGCTGCTGAATCGCAGAGCATTCAGACCTGCAATATCTGGTCTGTGGCAAGTCTATTTGCAATATTATTCGTCTTATTCTATTCGGGCATTTTCTATTTGAAATGACACTTCTGGGCTTTAGAGGGGCCTGGCCTCCTCCCAAATGGATCGGTTTGCTGGGAGGGCACGCCCATCAGTGTGTTTCACCCTGGACAGCAGGAGGGACGGGCTGGCCTCCGGCAGGGCCTGGTCCTGGCAGGTGACTGGCCCGTTGCAGTCACCGAGGTGCTCGTGTGTCCTTCGTGACAGAATCGAAAGCACCCAGTGCTTTCGCTTGCCTGTCCGCTTGCCTGCTGCACCAGAGTCCCCAGAGACTCGCCCTCACCTGAGCATAAGCCCAGCCTGGCCCTCCAGACCCCCATCAGATACAACTTCCCCGATTAACACAGAAGACACAGTGACATCCCGGCTGGTCCCTGGGGTGCTTCTCAGTGAGCCGCCCTCCATGTCCAGCGCAGCTTGGCCTCGCCTGCAGCCCGTGGACACTCCAGGCAACACCTCCCTGCTCTGTGCCTGCTACGGCTAATGCCCCTGCTTTTTCCCTCTGTGGTGTGGGCTGGCGGCAGCCTGGTCAGTGTTCCCAGCTGAGGTCTTGTAGAGTGGCTGTAGAAGCTGGGGCACCTGCTGGAGGCTGAGCCGCATGAGCCAAGGTGGGCAGCTCTGCCTGTGCCCAGACAGCACCCAGGGGCACTTCCAGGGACACTGGCCTTGTTTAGCTCTGGTGGTTATAATCCAATTCTAAAGACCCCACCAGTTGGGAAATCAACCATTGCAAAGGCCCCATCTTGTGTCCTTTAAAAACCTCCAGAAATAAAACATCTAGAACCACAGTGGCCCACAGAGCTGGAAGCCAGTAGAAGGTGCACAGCTTGGGACCAGTCAGATGCAGCCGAGCTTCATCCTTTATGAGCCCAGGCACGGGACTCACCTGCTCGCTCAGTTTGACCCTTGCACAGCAAGAGTCCTTCCTGGGGCCACACGGGTGGACACCACCTTTCACACCTGTGGCGGTTTTCCAAGCCAGCCAGTAGGAGCCGGGCGGAAGTAGGGGGCTCCTCTGCACGAGGGGGCAGGGTGAGAGCTGAGCATGTCTCCCTGCCAATAAAATAATTATAGACTATGAAAATGGTTTAATTAAATCATTTTTTAAAAAAGTGACGATGTATAAACACTCAGCAATTAAGCAGCCGATTTGCAAAGAGTGATTTTCCAACTGTGCTTGCCTTCCATGTTTCTATTTGCCTGTTTATAGAGCCTGGCTTTTATTTTTAATTTGAATAAATGTGGCTTGGAATGATCACTCTCTGAGTCGCCAGATGCCATGCAGCTAGAAGAACTTGGAAGCAGTGAGGATACAGAGTGCCGAGGAAGGTCACCCAGAGGGGTCAGTGTGCCTCACTCCCCGACCCCTCTGGTCCTTCCTCTGGACACTCAGCCCACCACTTCGGATCCTGTCTGCAGAGGAGAGGGGCGTCTGTCCCTAGCGCGCAGGTTCAGGGCTCCCAGGGACAGCTAAGGGACGGGTGTGTGGCCAGGCCCACTGCCCAGACAGAAGCCAGTCCAGTCCTTGCCATTTCCCTGGGAGGCTGTTGCCCGAGAAGCCTGCCCACCTCTCTGAGCACCTCCGCAGCTGTCCTGGGAGCACTCCCTGAGCTCCAGCTGTGTGTCTGGCCCGTGGATGCCCGTGTGGTCTCGGGGACCACTGTCCTCACTGCAGCTCCGTGATCCGCATGCACACACTTCAGGGAGAAGAGGCACACTGGGTTCAGAGTTGGCCAGAGGGCCCTGGGTTGTGACCTGCCCCCTGCTGACCAGCTGGACACCGAGGCACATCACCCTGTGTCTCCCAGACTTGCTCAGGGGAGTAAAGCCCTGAGTGGACCGTAGCCGAGCGGTAAAGGAGGAGGGGACCCGACTGGCCAGGTTGGAGCAGGCCTTCCCTCCCTCTGCTCAGCCCACCCCGAGGTCACCACTCAGGCTGTCTTCTGCTGACCTTCTCCTCTGGCAGTTCTTAGACTGCGTATCGAGTCAGCCCCAGGCCACTTCCTGGCACCCGGCACCGAGCTGGCCCCTGGTAGATGGACGGCCGACGCTGGGGGGCTGATCGGGAACGCCGACAGCCTGCCCCATCACCAGGGCCCTGTGGCGCCTCGGTCCCCATTGTGCTGCCCTGATCTCTGAAGGAACTTTGCCCCCAAGCCCGTGCCCCTGAATCCTGCCCACACATCCCATTCTTTCTGGGGCCCAGTTAGGGGAGGGGTGGCAGAAGGGGGCTTTGCCTCCCTGCTGTACACTAACCAGCCGTGGGCTCTGTGTCTCCATTTCTTCACTGGCAAATAGGAGCTAGGATGCGTACCCAGGAATGTGGGGAGATTTAAACCAGATCCAGGATGTAAGGCATCTGATGCAGGCTTACCCTTGTATACCGTAGGTGTTTAATAAACGCAACGGCCTGCAGGGGGTTGGTAGATGCACCCCCCAAATCCATGTCCACCTAGAACCTCAGAACGAAGCCTTATTTGGTTGAATATAGGGTGTTTGCTGAAATCATTCAGGACTTAGGGTGGGCCCTGCGTCCCATGATGGGTGCCCTTACAAGAGGGAAATGTGGACACAGGGACACACAGGGAGGCCATGCGAGGGTGGAGAAAAGGCTCATCGTGTGAATATTTGGGGGTCAGTACACCCACCTCTCTCCCTCAGCACCTGTGCCCACAGTCCCAGGCCAGGAGCGCCCCCTGCTGGACTCGGTTCGGACCCTTGAGTCCCACTGGCCACCAGCACAGGTGCTGTGACCACAATCCGAGGGACGGCCCTTCTCCCAGGGTCTCCAGCTTGGTGAGCACCCAGCACAGATGACCCTCCTCCCGGGGAGGAGACAAGCCCATCCTCTCGGGGCCTCCTGACGGCCCCAGCCACCCCGCTTGCAGCCAGGCGTGGGAGGAGTGGGGGAGCCTCCAGGCACTTCCTTGGACGCACCGCGAGAGGCAGACACCATACAGCACCACAGCCGTCTTCTGCTTCCGTTCCTCAGAATAAATCTTCACGATGCAGACAACATCCTGCTAGCCTTGGTCATTTACTTGAATTTGAGAAACTTGTGTCCTGAGGAAATCATGAGGTGAAGTGAGGACACTTGAGTCGCTCACCGGAAAATCAAGGTCTGGGCAGAAGATTTCCCAGAGCACCTGCCTCGGGGGAACAGGAGCCCCACAGCCCCCCTCAGAAGGGATGTTGGGGGGCCGGCCGATGGGCAGGGAAACTTGAGGGGTGGCTGCAGGTTAAGGGCATGTGACCACAGCCTTTTCTGCTCACAGGGGCCTCAGGGACCCCTGATTCCAACCCTCTGATGTCTCAGAGTGGGGGACTGATGGCGAACCCTGAGGGGGCTTCCTGGGAGCTCAGCAAACCAGCTGCAGGCTGGGGCGTGGGCCCAGACGCCTGACCCGGGCCCTGGCTCTGAGCCTGCCCAGCTCGCAGTGCCTGTGACCCCACAGGGCCACTCGGCTCCCCCAGCCCTGCTCCAGCCCTGGTTGGTCCTTGAGCCCTGACCCACAGGCTTGGGGGTGTCGGACGAGCGTGCTTCCCTGAGGGCTGTCCCCCGCCAGCCCAGCCCCTCGCCTCCCCCAGGCCACACACCCCCTGAGCAGTATGGCTCCACCTTCTGTGCCACCTGGGTTTAGCTGCCATCTCCTCCCTAACCTGGCACCTCATGCATCTCCACGTGGTGCTGATTCCACATCTCGGTGAGAGTCCTGCCCCCCACCTGCCCCCCACGTGCCCCATCACCTGTATTGCCACCAGTTACAGCAGTCCTGGAATAGCAGCAGGGACAAGCTCCTAGGGCCCATGCTTGGGCCCCGGCGCCGGCTAACTCTTCCTGCAGTCACGAAGCTGGTCCCTAAGATTGTGCTTTCTGGAGGGGGACATAGACCTGTCCCCTCAGGACCCTGGTTCCCCCTTCCGAGGCCACCCTCAGCCTGTGCCCAGACCATGGAGTCCATTAGAAATAAAATGCCAGCCACGTGTGGAGTTTCAGATGCTCATTAAAAAGTGGAAGGGAACAGGTGACACGGAAAGGCCTGGAGGAACCTTATCACAAAGTGAGGCCGCCAGCCTGAAGGCCACACACCGCGTGCTTCCCACGCAGGACATTCTGGACAAGGCGGAGCTGTGGAGGCCGTGAAGGATCAGTGGTCGCCATGGCTGGGGGGAGACGAACAGGCCCAGCACGGAGGCCTCCTAGGGCCGGGAGGCTGCTCTGTGTGCCGCGGTCACGGCGCACACCGGCACAATGCACGGGTCCAAGCCACGGGACGCACAGCACCCAGATTGGCTCCGATGTGAGCCGTGGGCTCTGGGGACGATGACGGGACAACCCTGGGTCGCTGATGGTGACAGACGTCCCACCCTGGTGGGGGTGCAGGTGGCCGAGGAAGGCATGCACCTGTGGGGCAGGGGGATGGGCAAGCTCTGGACCTCCTCTCAGCTTTGCTCTGAACCTGAAACCGCTCTAATAAAATTAACTCCAGCAGTTAAAAAAGAAACAGGTGAAATTAATCTTAATAGATTTTATTTAACTCAATCTATCCGATATATTATGTCAACATGTAACCAGTATAAAATTATGATGAAACATTTTACACTTTTTATATATGAAGTCTTTGAAGTTGGCATGTGTTTTGCACAAACAATGTTCCTCGATCTGGATGAATTCACAAGCACCATGGGACGTTCAGAGAGCTCCACAGCCCCGTTGTGAGCAGGTGCTGTGTTAAATCAGGGACCTTGAGGAGGCAGGGGGTTTCCTTGAATTATCTGGGGAGCCCTGTATGATCAATCGCAAGGGTGCTTACAGGTGGGAGCCCGGGCGAGCTGTGACTGCAAAGGTGTGAGGACGGGGGGCCCAGAGGGGTGCTGTTGGAAGGCGGAGGGGAGCCCAAGCTGAGGACTTGGAGCTGCCGCCAAGAAGCCAGGAAAGGAAAGGAAAGGGGCGGCTCCCCCAGAGCTTCCAACACAGGCGGACACCTCGGTTTTAACCAGTAAGTCCCATGAGACTGCTGACCTCCAGAGCGGAGGGGTAGTAAGCCTGGCGCGCATTAAGCCACTGCCTGTGGTGGTTCCATCACAGCAGCCACGGGAATACCTGCTCCCTGAGGAAATCCGTCCACCCAGCCTCTGCCTCCGGGCCTGTAGCCTGTGGGGACCCCCTCACGGACAGGCTGGGGCGTGAGGAGGGCTCCGACTGGGTTGGGGGGATGGAATGCAAAGGATTTAGGAGGAAGGGTCAGCAAGGAGGGGGTGGGGTGGCAGACCGGATGGTTGGTGGGGGCAGCTGGGGGCAGGGGAGTTGGGGATGGACCCGGCCAGATCGCTTTGACCACCTCCTTGGAGTGTCACAGACGTGGCTGTTGGTGTCATCGCCCACCTGGAATTACCCGTCTGCTCTCTGTCTCACCAGCTAGCCTGTCCCCCTGTGGGGCAGGGTGGTGTCTATCCTGCTCATCACGGGCAGCAGTGGCCAGCACATAGTAGGTGTTCAGTAAACATATGTCGCGTGAAGGGATTTGAACAAGTGTGGAGCTTAGAGCATAAAGGGAGCAAATGTGGGCTGGAGGGAGTGAGGGGGCTGGAGGCGGGGCGCTGGGGGCTGAGGGCAGTTGGGGGATTCGCCTGGTCCTGCAGGGGAGGAGCTGCTGATGCCAGGGGAGCAGGCGTGGGGCTTGGGTTTAGACGGATCCGTCCGTTGGTCCACTTCCAGAGGAGAGGGCAGGGTATCCTGTCCCCAGGGCCTGTGTGCCTGCTGTTCCCTCTGCCTGGAGGGCGCGTCTGTGTCTTCTGGCCCCTGACAAAGCCCCACACACTGGCCGCCTGTAAACAATGAAGTCTACTGTCCCGCAGAAGGGTGGGAGCCTGGGACCAGGGTGCTGGCAGGCTTGGGGGAGAATCTGCTGCGGGCCTGCATCCCAGCTCCTGGCGGCTCCTCACCGTCCCTTGTCTGGCCCGTCTGCACGGCATCCTCCCCAAGTTTGTCCAGATCTGCCTCTCCGTATGACAGCAGTCACTGCTTAGGGCCCACCTGACTCAGGTGACCTCATCGTAACCTAACTGCATCTGCAGCAACCCTGTTTGCAAACAAGGCCACAGTCACAGGTTGTGAGAGGACACGGATTTTAAGATGACCTTACTTGACCAGCACAAGCAAACGGCTTTCCCCCAGCCAGGCGTGCCGCACGGCCTCCCTTCATCCCACTGCCCTGCACCCCCTTGCTGTTTACTCTTCATAGCACTGGATGCAGTTTTATTTCTGCTTATTTATCTCTCCCCTCCCCTCCCCTCCCCGCCTGGACTGTAGGGTCCTGGGTAGCCGGGCCTTGGTCCCACTGGCTCCATGTGCAGGTGCCTTAGGTGAGCGGTGTGAGCAGGTGTGAGCCGGGTTCAGGGAGGGGGCTGCGTCCCTGGGAGGCGGAGGGTGTGAGGAAATGAGGGAAGGGGTGGGTCCTCAGGTGTGGGAGGCGGACCGTCCACAGGTCTTGGACTGGCTTGTCCAGGGCGGAGGGAGAGAGGAGGCTGCACGCATCAAGCTCCTAAACATGCCGTTTGTTTCTTCCGGGCTCTGAAATTTCCTGGGTCTCTGCATCGACCCTCTGCTAATGGGCCTCTGGCTCTCTCCTTCCTGAAGAAAATCAATTCTCCGAGGTTGTGAGTTTTGCCTAATCACCCCCTGGGGGGCCTGCTTTGTTCCCTCCCTGGGAAGGCCGAGGGCAGTGGGGGGGGGACCCTCTCCCAGCCACCCTGGAAGGGGGTGGGCCCCTGCTGGACTCCCCTAGCGGTCAGGGGACGGGGCTACTCTCTGATCCGGCCTGAGAAGGACCTTGTGACCCTGAGGACTGAGTGGGACCTGACCTCTGAGGACATGGGCACATGTGGCCACTAAGCCCCCAGGCAGTAAACACGCCCATCTTCCAGGGCCTCTGGTTCACTGAGGTTCAGAGGAAATCCGGGGCGGGGGACTAAGAAGCTCCTTGTGGGGAGGGGGTTTATGCTAAGCAGCTCCAGGCCTCCCCATGGGGCCCCCTGGCGACAGAGGGGAAGGGGCAGTTCAGGCCACACGGAGCTGAGGTCTGGGAACAGGATCCAAGCCCTTCCCCCCTCGTGTAAGTGGGGGGCACTGCCCACCCACAGCCCGGGGCTCAGCTCCCTTCAGGCTCGTTTCAGAGGTGATCGGACGATGGGCCCTGAGGGCCGCCGTGCATGGCAGGAGCTCCGTAGCTGTGGCCTCCCTCTCCTGTCCCTGTCCCCACCTTGGGTTGAGCTCCCCAACCTGCTGGAAGATGGGGGAGCTCCGGGAGACCCCTGCAGCCCAGCGTGTCTGGAATGGGGTGGGGAACGCTGACCCCAGGCCTGGCTGCGCTCCAGCCCCCTGCCTTGGGCTCTGCATTCACAGCACATCGATGGGGTGATAATAAGGAGTCTGGTTTCAGGGTCACTGGGACTTTAAGCTTCAACCTGGAATTAATTCCATGTTCTCATGTGTGGGTTGTTTCCAAACAACAGATGTGAAATCGCCCTTCTCTCCCTCCTGCTGCTGCAGGCCGGGCTGCGGCTGGGCGGCTCATGGGGATGCTCTTCTGCACCCTCACATTCCTGGCAGGGAAGTGGGCCCACAGACGGGGTGGGGCTGGCCCAGGGTTGCCCTGAGTAGCCCTGGCCTCTCGGTGAACCGGGGGTGAGGGGGTTGGCACTCGCCGGCCAGCACAGGGCCTGGGGTGTCTACCCCGGCCTGGGTGCTGGAGCCCTCAGCCCCCAGCAGGGCTATGGACAGGTGGCCAGGGCCCAGGGAGGGTCATGGCCGGGCAGACCGTCCACTATGAGGCCTTAGTGCAGTGGGGACATCCTATAGAGCAGACAGGACGCCAGCTGTGTGGGGGGCAGGCCAGCACTCGTGTTCTGAGCCAGCCACTTGTGACCGAGGTGATGCCGGGCAGGAACCCACTTGCTCAGAGTCGCCTCACTGTCCCCGGGTCACCTGCGAGAGAGACGGAGTACCGGGCTCTGCCAGGCTCTGTTGAGGAATCAAGACAGAAGGCCTTGAGGTGCCTGTACATGAGACCCTCATGAACAGTGAGCCGAAAGGAACTGGGGGCGGGGCGGCATGCTGCCGGCTGCCAAGGCAGATGGACCCAGTGGGGAAGTGCTGGCTTTCGCCCTCACCAGGACCTGATCCACACCCCAGCCTCAGATACGAGTGAGTGCTTGGCGTCCCCAAGGGAGCCCTGGCCCCCCATCACCTGCTCCCCGGGAGACGGTGTCCTGGGCACATGGCCCGTGCTGGATACACTGTGGGCCCGATCGGTCTGTGCCCGGAGGGGCCCGTTGCTGACAGCTGTCCTCCTCCCCCTCCAGGTCCTCAGACTTCGGCACGTCCTACACCAAGCTCACCCTCCAGCCGGGCGTCACCACCGTCATCGACAACTTCTACATTTGCCCGACCAACAAGAGGAAGGTATGTGCTGTGCCCGGGCGGCCGCCACGCTGCAGAGCCAGCTCCTGCTCCGGAGGCTGGCCGGGCGTGTGCGCGATTACCTCCCACGCCCCAGCGCCCCCTTCCCGTTGCGCCATAACCCACTGCGGCGACTGTGGAAACCAGCTGGGCCTTCGGAGAAGGGCTCTGGCTTACCTGGGGCATTTGTCTTCTCCCCGCCCCGGGGAGCTGCATCGGTCAGGACACAGCAACCAGGAGTGGCAGCTGCGTGGAGGTGGAGGGGGCAGGCACCTCTCCCTCTGGTCCGCGGTCCCTGGCAGGGGGGTGAGCAATCCACGGGTGTTCAGCAGCGCTTCCCTTGATCTGGGTGGGAGTTGGCTTGGACCCTTCTCTGCGCCCGCCCTGCTGCCCCTCCTGTCTGAGTGTGTCTCCTGACTTCGCTGTCTGCCTGGCTGTGAAATAGGGAGCTTGGCTGTTTCAAGGCTGCTTTTGTGAGAAACCCATTTGCAAGCCCATGGTTGTCTCCGGGCCATCCCAGGAGCCCAGAAGGAGGTCAGAGGAAGCGCCCAGTGTACTGAGCTCCATCCAGGGAAGCAGCTCATTATTGCAGAAAGGGACTCAGATCAGGGTGCTTGTGGTAAATGAGCTGTAACCGCATCTTGTGTGGAGAATTGTGGCACTGGGGATTAGAATCCAGAGCCCGGTGCCTGCTGGGCAAGAGCCTGGCCCTTAGGCACTGACAGATGCTCTGGTGACTTTAAAGGAAAGGCTGGGGCTTCATAGAACCTGTGAAATCCTCTGTAAATCACCAGAAAGGGAGTCACTGATGCCAGATAGCAGGTCGGGGAGGGCCCTCAGGGCTTGCTGGCTACGCTGATGGCAGATCAACGGGCTCAGAGGAGTCTATGTGCCCATGCCCCTGGCAGGCTCTGCAGGGACTGAGGCCCACCCGAGTTTAATGAACATGGGCACTAAGGTGTGCAGTGCCCACCGGGCGTGGTCCAGGTAATCTCAGAGGCACTTTTTAATGGGGTGTCATCTTTCTAAAGCAGTTTCCCCACTTCCTTGACTCACTGCTGTACAAGCTTCCTGTTGGGCAGAATCGGAATGCAGAGGTTGGGGGGGCTGCTGCTGGGGGGATGGGGACCCTCCCCCTGGGGACCCAGCGCTACCTGGAGGGGAAGGACTGGGGATGAGGAGAAGGCAGTGGATGGCTTCTCGCCCTGACTTACTTCATAGCTGTGGTCTCACGTGGCTCCAGAAGGCCCAAGGAGGGAGGCACTGTTATCCCATTTCCAGGGCAGGAAGCGGAGGTGTGGGGAGTTGAGGCTCGCCCAGTCACACAGCTGATGGGAGCCCTGGATCTGAGCTCAGTGCCTTCTGGGTCCAGGACTGAGGGCTCTTTCTGTGCAGGAGGAGGAGCAAGCGTGAGGGAGGCCCTGCCACTCACCCAGCATCCACGTCTCCGCCCCCGACTCCCCACCTTCCTCATCCCCAGGCAGGCTCAGCTCCAGTCTCATCACTGCCCTGAGCGGGGAGCGAAGTCATGGACGCAGGCAGCAGCCAGGCTTCCGGAATGCTCTGGCCTCCAGTCCTGCTTTGGCAGAGACTGGCCCCCCGACCTGCACCTCAGGACTGAGCTGACCCCTCCCCTAGGGGGCCACCCTCTGCAGCCCCAGATGGAGGGCGCTTCCAAAGACCCCTACAGGCACAGGCATCCCTCTTGGAGGCGGGCAGGGGGAGCAGTGGGGGGCAGGAGCAGTGCCCGGGGGCAGGGTGGTGGCCCAGACTGTGGCAGCCTGGGAGGGCCTGGCCTGGGAGGCAGGAGGTCAGTCATGCGCAGCTGAGCCACAGGAGGGCTGAGCGCTGACTCCCTTATTTCTGTTGCTGGAGCTTTGGGGTGGTTCTGGGCCTGGGCTGGGCCTGGGGTGGATCTGGGGCGGAGCTGGGCCTGGGCCGGGTGTAGCCCCACAGCTTACCAGCTCTGCAGCTTTGCATGAATTGTGAACCTCCCAGTGCAGTGAGGGTAACAGCAGCGTCTACACTGGGGAGCTGACAGAATTAAACTCAAAACAGGGTCTGGCTCAAGCAAAGCTCTCACGTGTTCCCCTGGACATTCTCCCTAGAAGGAAATGTAAGAGGCCTCTTCTTACCCTCTAAGGTTAGGAGCTGGTTCCGGGGTGTACTTTCTCATGTGGTTGCCTGGTCCCCTGTGTCTGCCTGGGGATGGAGCCCTGGTGGGTGTCCGTGACAGGCATCTGGGTGGGCACTGCCCTCTGTCCAGTGACTGCAGCCCAGCCCCCTAGGCCTGGGCAAATGTTAATCGTTAGTCACAGAAAAGGCAGCTGACTTCACAGCAGTGCTCCCTGCAGTCCAGGCCTCCACGTCTCAAGAACGACACTCCAGCTCCTCCGCCTGTAGCCGCCGGACAGGTGTGGGGCAGTGGCTGGGGCTGGGTCCCCCTCCCTGTACGGGCACAACCCACTGGAGGCCGAGGTGAGTGGAGGCCCGAGCTCTAGGCTGTGGACCCCACCGCTCCCTGACAGGCGAATGTGAGCAGTCATTTCAGGGCTCTGTGCCCGGCTTCCCCGTCTGTCAGGTAGGATCATAGCAGCTAAGTGAGGACTGCATGAATCGGTACACGCGGGCTGCTTAGGACAGGGCTGGGACCCCTAGTGCTGCACCCCCAGAGCCACGCCTGCAGGAGGGGCTGTTGGTGGGTGTGAGGTTGGTATGATCACTGGGTGTGAGGTTGGTAAATGCACTTAGGAGCAGAAAAGCCACAACCACTGTTACAGAAGAAGAAGAAGATGGTGTGAGACCATATCAAGCAGGAAATGGGTGACAGGAAAGACTGGGGCGGCCGTGGGCTGGTCTTCAGACTCCCAGAGGGTGGTCCTAGAGAGCAGCGGCCCGTGCAGGCCGGGGACGGGGGGCTCCCTTTCGTTCACTCGCGTCCTCAACAGTGCGTGGCCCTTGGCACTGAGCCAGTACTCAGGCCTTCTGCATGCGGTGGGCTGGGCTGAGCAGGCCTGGTTCCCTTTAGGGGAAGAGATTTCTGTTTACTAGGAAAGCAACTCTCCTTCCATCATCGCATTAGATTACTCACCGCTCACAGTTTCTTGATCCCTGAGCCATCTGCTGGTGACCATGCACAGGGTGCCAGGCTCTGGGGCAGAACCAGATGTCAGTCTAGTCCTGCACTTGCGGGGAGGTGAGGCATGACCTGGGGGTTTGCAGCATCACCTCCATTACCCCGGTGAGAAAACGGAGGCTTGGGGAAGCTGGGACACCTGTAGAGGGCATTCTACAATTTGTTGTGGCATGACCCGAGACCCCGGGAGCCTGACGGTCCCCAAACACACCCCACAGGCTTTCCCTTCTGTCTGTCAGGTTTGTCCAAGGTCACCCGGCTGGTAGGTGGCAAAGCATTCACCGTGCCGTTCATACACCCAGTGTCTGTGCCTGGTACTGAGCAGGGATCGAGCTGAGTCTCTTAGGCCCCGGAGCACCCTCGGGCACAGCCCAAGCTTGCCAGGCCCCCGAGGCAGCGTCCCTGGGAGCAGATGGGGCTCCTCACACCTGGGCGAGCCCAGCCCAGCCCGCTGTACTGGAGGTGGGAAATCAGCTTCTCCTTAATGTGTGTGGCTGGACAGGGCGCAGCCTGACTTCTGGGCAGATCCTCTTCCTGCGTGAGGTCTGAGCTTCCCATCCATCAGATGGGGAGCTTGAACCGGAGGGTCTCCAAAGCCCCTTCCAGTCCAGACCTCTGGACTCCCCTGGCGTCCTCCCAGCAGAAGAGCAGCAGCAGGGGATGAGGCCCGTGTGGCAGGACCCAGCTCCTCTCCATTTGCCCAGCTCCCCATTCCCTGCTGTGTGCGGGTGTTTCCACAAGGTCTGCAGGCTTCCTCTCCACACCGACACCCGTCAGGCTGCTGGGACAGGGAACCCAAATCCAGTCTTGCAGACAAATTCGGATTAAGCACCTACTAGGTATGGGGTCCCTTGCTGGGGCGCAAAGGTGGTCTGCACAGACAACTCTAACCTTCTAGAACTTTTGAAGGCCTGTTAGGTGGCTGAGAAACTGAACTTCTGCATTTGTGTGGGAGGAGTAAGAAAAGGGGCCAGAGTCGGTCTCCCGTGGAGATGAATGACCCTGGGGTGCATCTGATCTGGGAAAAGACAAGGCTCTTAGTTGTAGGGGTGCCTGTGTGGGTGAACCCACCTCTCCTGTTATCAGGTAATGGATACGTTTTATAGGAAAATGTGAATACTATTAGGAGTCCATTTAGCAGCAATTACAGGCCAAGGAGCATTTTACAGCTTCTTAAGAGACCACTTTGCAACCTGTCTTACAAAAATGAACTCCCTCTTATTTTTGTCTTGCCTGCAGTAAAATCAGAGCTCCCCCACCTTGATGCCATGGGCAGGTTGTTCTACGACTGTCATGGCCTGGCCCCGAGGCCCTGGGAGCCCTGATAATCCGCAGATGCGCCCCACGGGCCTTCCACGCTGTCTGCAGTTCCCACATTAGCTTTGGACCCGTAACGCATTTCTGATGTGGCCATGAGGACACAGTGGCATGGGAAGAGGGTGTGAAGGCCAGACCCGGGGGAGCTGGCTGGGGCATGTACTTGCTTCTAAGTGTCATGGTTTATATTAAAAATTCATGTGAATTTTCATTTTACTCCATGATGTATCAGTGTTGGTTTGAACACTAAGATCTCTCTCTCTCTCTCACACACACACACACACACACACACACACTTCCAACAAAAAGTCTTTGCCGCCCTGATGGCCCAGGAGAACGCTCTGGTTTGGAGCCCAGGACCCCCGCGCAGCCGCCCCTGTAAGCCTCCTGGGCACATGACTCCTACTTTGAGAAGAACAGGGTCAGGACAGGGTCTCTGTCAGTTCACCTGCTCATTCATTCTGCTCACTCACCCAAGACGTCTTGAGCAACTGCCGTGTGCCGAGCATTCAGGACAGAGAAATGAATCAAACTAAAATGCAGCCTCCAGGAAGCTCAAAATGTTGCAGCAAGTGAAAAATCTGCTCGGAAGGGGCAGTACCGACCACGATAAGGAATGGCCCTTCCTGTACGAGCTCGGAACTGGGGGCTGCACGAACGTTACCTCCGCTCCATGCGACATCCCTGCAAGGTGACAGGAGCAGAGCCCAGAGAGGCCCAGTAGCTTCCCCAAGGCCACACAGCCAGTGGGCAGCCAGTCCAAATTTGCACCCAGACCCCAGTGTCCCCCAGGCTGCTCTTTCTGCTGCACACACTGCCTTTGAGCAGCTCTGTACCCACAGCAGTCAGCCTGTCCTAGGATCACCATGGCCGCCCCTTCCAGTGGGCAGAAAGCCTGCAGGAGCGGACAGAGGCTTAGGAGACGGGTGCTGGTACTGGTGCTGCCCCTGTGCCAAGCTCCCTGGGCCTCGGCACCCTTGCCAGGGCGCGGCCTCCTGCCCCTGCTGCCTCTCTTGGTGCAACTGTGTCCTGTGGCTGAGGTGAGGCCCAGGCTCCTTAATTATTCTACAGCCCATGCCCTTCTGCTTCCCGAGGACATCACAGGGTGGGGAAAGCAAGCAGTCTGGTCTGCTCTGTGTCTCTGGGTCTTTTTGGTCTGCATGCGTAGGTCAGCTCCAGGCCTTCTCTCCCTGTCTGCACCCTCTACTCAGCTGCCCTGCCCCTGTCCTGTGGTCCTGGTTTCCAGCCCTGAGCATCGCCCCGCCCTCCCTGCAGTGGAGCCCCGCCCCTCCCTCCAGCCGCTGACCCCTGGGTCCACTGCTGTCTCCTTTCCTCCCTTGGGTCCCTGGCAGAGTGTGGTGGTGGTCCGCCCCCAGGAGGGAGCTGAGGTTAGCCCAGGCCCCATGGACGTGGCCACTGTGGATCCTCACCTGTGCTTGGAGGACACTTAGGCGGGTCATCTCTGGCCATTCAGGTCAAGGCCAGACAGTGGCAGCCCTGCAGGTCCTGTGGGGACCCTGAATGTGCACCAGGACCTTGTGAAGCTCAGATCTACTCACATTTTTAAGAAGTGTTCTAAGCAGCAAGGGGTTGGTTTTGCTCGTTTCTCTTCATGCCGGCCGCCATCTCCCAATTCCCAGGCCCGAGCCCCTGACAAAGAACGTTAACGGGGAAGGGGAGGAGAGACAGAGGGAGGGCCGGGCTTTGACGGGGCTCAAATCCCCGTGTCTCCCTCCTCTGCCTCTTGGGGTGCAAACCGATGGTCACATTACCCACCCACGCAGTCGTGGTGGCTGTGAGATGAGATGACGCCGGACGTAACGCAGTGCTCGGCCCCGGTGGCTACTTCATGTGTCCGTGTTGTGGAGCACCGAGGGACCAGGGTCAGTGCGTGCGACATGCAGGGTGCAGTGCTTGGCCCGCAACTGGGCTCTGAAAGGGCCAAACCCACTCTGTGTGTGTCTTTCCCTGGATGTGCCACTGGGCATGAAGCAGGACCCAGGCTCTGGAGAACAGACCCATCCTTCGTGTACCCCTGGGAGGGCCTGCCATCTCCCTGTAATGGGGAAATGGGCTTGAGGTGCGCATCTAACTTCAGGAGGCGAGTGCAGGAGTGCCCGTGCTTGGTCTGGGCTGCTGCAGGGCTCACCGCATGTGATCTGAGGCCTGCTGTGGCCCGGGGTTGTGGGCACCCCAGTGTGCTACCTTGCACCCAGGGCTCACAGTCAGGACATGTCTCTAGACGTAGGACCTGGGCCCATTCGGGGGCCACCGAGAAACCACTTGGGAGTGGGTGCTCCACTGATGTGACGTGGGAGGCCAGGCACCTGCCGGGACTATCCTCTGGGGCAGGAGTGGGCAGGCATGTTGATGTGCATTTCTGCTGTTGAGCTGGAACTGCCAGGAAGCATTCGTGGTGCCCCATGCTGCTGCATGCTTGCAAACTGGGGTTGTGCCTGGATGACTCTCTTCAGGCCAGATGTGTGCCGGCTGCTAGTTGGGGTGTCCCAGACTTCCTAGGAGAGGCATTCCCTCCAGAAGTCCTGAGCAGTCTGTTCTCACAGGGTGGGGGGCTCATGGGGTCCCCAGGAGAAAATCA